AAGGTCTGGGTCTTCCCTTCTCTCCCTCCCTGTTTTCCTCCTTCCAGCTTTTCTTTTTCTATCTTTATCTCTATCTTCTTTCTTTCTTTCTTTCTTTCTTTCTTTCTTTCTTTCTTTCTTTCTTTCTTTCTTTCTTTTTCTATCTTTATCTCTATCTTCTTTCTTTCTTTCTTTCTTTCTTTCTTTCTTTCTTTCTTTCTTTCTTTCTGTCTTTCTTTCTATAATGTATTAGAAAACAAGAATTGCAAAGCTAGTAGCCAATAGTTAAAACTGGATGAACTCTGCTTAGAAGAAGGGCCGTGGAGAGCACAGAAGGGGACCCCAGTAGACAAGATCCATGTAGCTCCCCAGCAAACAGAGGAAGTGGTTAAGAGGAGAGGCTCTGGGATAAGACTGTTGAGCTCAGATCCCAACTGCGGGGTCTCAGAGTTCTGTGACCTTGGACAGGATCTCTGAGCTTCATTTCACTCTTCTGTCAGTTAACAGTAGCACCTACCATGCAGTTGCTTGAAGGGTTAAAAAATAATCCACAGTAGCTAGAATGGTAGATAACACACAGAAAAAGTTTTTTCAAAGTTTATCTTGTTGTTGGTTTTTGGTTTTTTTGATACAGGGTCTCACTATGGCCTTGAACATATAAAGCCTCAGCTGGCCTTTCTGTGATCCTCTTGCTTCAGGGATTACAGCCATGAGCCATGCCATGCTTGGCCTCTTCATTGTTACCCATTACTCTGGTTAGACTTTCATCAGTTCAACTACTGAAGAGGCCCTTGTCTGAATGCCAGGAGATAAGAACTGCGATGTGTCACATACCTGTACCAGCTCCTGATGTGGAATGGGATCATTATGTTTTGCAAGCATACACTAATAAAATAAAAATTAAAAATATATACTTAAGGCTAAACTTATTGATCTACAAATGGTGTTCATTTCAGAACAGAGTAACTTCTGTATTAATTATCCTTTTATTTTTAAAATATTTGATTATGGAACCTTTATTAGTATTGTCATAGAAGGGTAAACCTTATCACTTTGGGAATGAAATGTGGACATTCAAAGTGGCCAAAAAAATTCTTGTAGTCCCCCAAAGAGGTTGGCCTAGCTCAAGCCAGCCAATCAATACACAATCAATAAAGCCCATGACAGAAGCAAGGGCTTCACTCGTCATGGTTCACTGTAGTCCAACCCTACCTCCTACCCCGCTGTAGGAGACTGCAGCCTACACTGACCTTCAGAAAATGCCTAGAGAGCCCCCCCACCCCGAGATTCCTGCCTGGAAGAAACAGAGAAGGAGGAAAAATAAATTTAAAAAATGGGAAAGAATGAAGAGGACAAGAAAGGAAAGAGTCTTGTTGGGGTGTAGTGGTAGAACAGTTGCCCAGCATGTATGAAAGAAGCCACTTCATTTAGCCTAATATACAACCAAGGCACTGGATTTTCCACCCTCTCCTCCCTACCTTCCTCCAGAGGATATTGCTGGTAGATCCTACCCTTATCTCTGACAGTAACTGCAATTTTAGGGTATTCCAAGACCATGGTTATGTTCCATGACTTGCTAGAAGGGCCTGCAGAACCTGCTCAAAGCTTTTTTTTTTTTTTTTTT